CCTGGTGGAAGTACCTGGTTGGCAGTTCAGAGAAGCGTGGAGTCTCTGGGAACAGAAAAGTCCCTGGGCCCAAGCACAGCAACTTTCTCGGAGAAGTGGGGCCTGGTGCTTAGGTGACAGGTGGTCTCTGGGAAGCTTTAGTTAAGATCAGGAAATAGGGATTTCAAAAATTCATAGCTGCCTACTCCATATTTCAAGGAAGAATAGCCCTTTGGAATATAACTTTCTGATAAATCTATGTTTACCTTTTACCTTCAAAACAGAATTCCTTCATAGCTAGGTGGCCTTGGCCCGGCATGTTATTTAGTATGGCATCTGTTTATTTGTAAATTGCAGAATATCAAAACCTGTTCAGGAACCACCTTGGTTCCTAGGTAGCCTACTCACCTAAGTACTAGGTATCAAGAGTAGAGCTCACAGGAAGAATTCTCCTGACCCTGAGAAGCAGTGCACCGTGGAAAGAAGTTGAAGACCTGCCAATCATAGAGATTCCTGGTGTCCATGAGCTCTGCAGTCAGGTGACACAGGCCCATCTCTACAGCGTCTAGGGCCATTGAGACCACTGTGGCTGGAGGTTAGTGTCATGGTCACAAACTGTGGCATTTCACATCTTAGCATATAGCTGGCCTATACCTTGAGTGTAGCTGAAAATTACTGCCCAGGCAGGTCTTGGTGGGTCCTGGTGGATCAGTAGCAGTGTAGATTGGGTGCAGCTACGTACAGGTCATTGTCTACCTTGAGGAACTGATAGACTCACACTGTACAGTTGATTCTTGGCCCTTGGAACCAACCCAGGTGTAGGTATGCCACCAAACTTACAAATAAGGTATTGTGACAGCATTGGACCCTGGTTAAATTCACATGGGAATCTGGCTCCACACAATCATAGGCTGGGCGAACACTCAGCACACCCTGCAGCCCAGGAAAGGTGGATCAGAGGTGCAGGTGCAGTGATTGGTGCAGATGCAGTTGTGTGAGCTGGGAATGAAAGCTGGAAAAGGGAAAACAGCAAAGACAAAAATTTGATCACTCCCTTCTTCAGCTCAGAGTCCTCAGACTTTCTCACTTCATCTCCACTTTCCTTCCTGGTGACAGCAGCTCACCTATCCTCCTCCCAAGCTCACAAGTATGGATATGAGAGAATATAGGGAGAGAGCAAGGACCTTGAGAAAATGAAGTTACCTGCACTATAAGGTACAGGCTGGTTCCTTTAGTTCGCAGTATACAAAAGCTGCCCAAGGTGTCAGCAAACTCTACAGCAAATCCCAGACACCAGGACTCCAGTGGGGTTTTGGGGAAAAAATTTTTTTTTACCTCCATGGACTTCATTTTTTGGCCCTGTGAGTTGTAAGCAGTAGTGGTAAATGGGAGGGGAAAAAAAATTCTCCAGATTACAGGAGAGTAGCATTCCACAAGGAGACTCCGGGTAGTTTTCCTTCCCTTTCCACCCAGGCCACTTTCACACCTCACCTTGGCTTGCTCCTCTTGGATTCCAATCACCCACCACACCCTGTCTTCCTTCCCATTCTCCATTATCTTTACCACTTGCCCTGCTTCCACCTCTTCTCCTCTGTTTCCCTTAGCACAGCTGGGCAGACCCACTTTTCCCATGAGAATTTTACCAAAAAGCAAAGGAAAGTAAGAAGAAATTTATTACTGCAAGTATACACTGATCAAATATGAATGAGGCTTTCAGAACTCCATTTCCTGATACTACTAAGATTTCAGCCACATCTAATGAAAGCTAACTTTTCTGCCCAGCCTCGTCTCCTCTTCCATTCTAAGTCTAAGGTAGCTCAGCCTGCTTGGCTTCGGGGTGCCTTCTTTTTACAGCAGTTTCCTCCAAGTAGCATTTGAAGTTTTTTGAACTCAGCTGTTGGTTGATAATTAAAAAAATAAGTTACTGAGCCTTCACTGTGAGCCAGGTAGTGTGCTAAGAGAATGGCACACTTTATAGCATTCAGTTCTCACAACCACCCCATGAGGCAAGTGCTCTTATCCCTAAGAAACCAACTTGTATGAGGCCACATGGCTCAGAAAATGGAGAGCTGAGGTTTTTGAGCCCAGAACTTTTTTTTTTTAAATTTTTATTATTTTGTGTTTGTGTACTGTCAAATCAGATCTGACTGCTACAGGAGGATATTGCTCCTCCTTCTCTGGCAGAGCATCTGGTGGATTTAAACCGTGTACCTCTGGGATTGCAGTGCAGCTTCTTGCCACTAGGCCACCAGAGCGCCCCTGAACCCAGAACTTTGACTAAAGCTGCACTCAAGGCAGGTTCTAAGATTTTGCACAGGAAGTATCCTTCTTCCCCGTATGATAGGAGATAGAGGAAAGCAGGGTTTTATAAGTCTACCTTTAATATTTTTAAATATGACAAGATAAGCATACAGTACGCACAGCAAACATTAGTCTACATTCAGCAAAAATCAGTCTTATACAACTTCAACAACAGTCTCTCACTTTCCACTCTGAGGCCTACTATCCCTTTATTGCGGCTTCCTGGACGGTGTAGTGTGCAGTAGGCTGATAACCTAAAAGAGGAGCGACCATGACATAGCATGTAGGGAGTTGTACAGTAACCCTAGGTTCCAAAAACCTACTGGAGGGCTCTCTGGGGGGCTTAGTTGTAAGGAGCTGTACTGCTAACCCAAAGACACACCTTTCGAATCCACTAGCTGCTTTGTGGAAGACGGATAATCGCCTCCTCTGCAATTTACTGCCTCTCAAAATCCCCTGGAGTGTCAGGTAGGGCTTGGTTCTGACTTAACAGCAATGAGTTTGAGTTGGCAACTTGAATCCACTCAACAGTCCCGAGGAAGAAAGTCCTGGCAGTCAACTCGCGTTAAGATAACAGCCATTGAAAACCCTATGGAGTGTAGTTCTGATAAAACAGAGGCAGCTATGAATTGAGAATCAACCTGACAACAGTGGGCTTTTTGGTTTTTATTCCTTTGTTGCCTTGTGAGTTAGTGGTGTCTTCAGCAGGAAGGCTACACACCTCAGAGATGGGGAGGCAGGTCCAAGGTAGGTCCTGTACACTGGGAGGAGGGGAGCAATCTGCACTTGGCAGTGAGGACAGGGGGGAGGAGGGCAATCTGTACTTGACAGTGAGGAACAGGAGGCACTTGAAGGGAAGTCCACTCCCAGGCCTTTCTGTATTTGGCACATGAGGAAGATGGCAAGTGTGGGTGACAGCCCTCCAGCAGGGTATGGTCAAAGGTGGAAGAGGTCTTTCCTGGGAAATGGTGAATTGAGACAGCCAGGTGGGTATGGTGCAAATGCTTCAGGCAGAGCTCAGAAGGTAGAGCCCCATGATGTGGTAATTGGGGAAATTGTGACTTCTTGTTGCCAGGTGCCACTGAGTCGACTACAACTCATAGACCCCTAAGAACAACAGATCTGAACCTTGGCCTATCTTACTCCATTCTCTTCATCTCTGATATACTCTCAAACTTACTCTTTTTGGAATTTTTCCCCCCAAGCCCTTTTTTTTTTTATAATTTTTTTATTTTAATTTTTTTTTTACAGAGGTTTTGGATTTCCATTCATTCATTGCCGCAATTTTCTCCCTTCCCACCCCTCCCCACCAGCTTGCTTCCCCCTCCGGAGGAAAAAAAAATTCCTTCATTAGTATACAATTCCCACGTCCCTTCCCCCCACCCCTAGTACACTTCTCTATGCAACCTTAATTCTGGATTCCTGTCCCCAAGCCCTTTCTTAACGACACTGTGTCAGTCCTCCATTTTGTTGATAGTCTCCCTCACTTTATCTGAGCTCCCACCTTTTCTCAGCATGATGTCTTTCTCCAAGGACTGGCCCGTTCTGATAGCATGCCCAAAGTAAGGAGAGAGGACAGGGAAAGAGCTAGTGCCAAAGCAGCAAAGGGACAGAAACAGACAGATGAGGAAGAGGATGGCAGTACTATAAGCATTTGAGTCCTTCGCAGGCAAGACAGCCTTGTTTATCATCCTGGGCTCCTCCCATACTTTGGCTCCTACTGATACGAGCTTGAAGGTGTGGAGCAGAGAGAGAATGTGCATGATATCTTGAAGAGAATGCCAAGTCTCATACTGCTTGAGTCCCCACCTACCTCCTCCCCAAAAGAAAAAAAAAAACATTGATGAGCTAATGGTCCAGTTTTTTATTTAGAAACCTGATTGTTCAAGAATATGGTGGGGGTTCTACACCCCTACCCTTTTACACTGGGATCATGTCAGAGGTGGTGGGCAAACTTCTCATTTCTTCAGCACAGAAATGAAGATTTGTTAACTCAGAAGCATAGATTATAGGGAGGAATATGGGCAGGGAAGGGGACAAAGAAACTCCAGAGTAAGGAAAAGGGTAAACTGACTCCACACAGCAATAAAAACCCACTGCCATCAATTGGGTTCTAACTCACATTGGCCCTACAGGACATAGTAGAACTAGCCCACGGGGTTTCCAACACCGCAGTCCTAACAGCAGTGGACTGCCGCCTTTTCCTCCCATGGGGAAACTTGGTGGGTTTGAGCTGCTAACCTCTGTTTTAACCACTGCGCTACCAGGACTCTTCAAACAGCAATAGGGGCATTTACAATAGGGGTGTTTACTTTCTTCAGACCTGCTTAATGGCCCTGTTCTTCTTGCTCTTCCTATCCTACTCCACCCACAAGGCCTTACTGTATCTCTAGGCAGGGAATGGGGAAAGAACCAACAGGCTAGGAGGGGATAAGAGGGAAAGCTGAGGAGGAAGGGAAGACGTGGGACAAACCCTGGGAGAATGAAAACCACAGGCCTGGTGAGGCCTTGAGAGCAGTTCTTGGCTTCGGCTCTTGCAGCAGCAGTAGTACTCATCCCACAGCCCTCCCACCCCCCCCACCCCCGGGAGTTGGGGCTCTCGAAGACCACAGCTCAGCACCACTCTGCTGTTTTGCCTTCAGGGACCCGGGGTGGAGGGAAGGGAGTGAGGGAGGCAGGGCCTGTCCAGGACTTCTCGAGGATCAGTTGCAGTGGTGGTCTCAGAAGTCAAACTCGTCCAGGTCCCCCGTGCCCTCCCCCTCCTGAGAGCCCCACACCCGGCGGTAATTGCTTTCCAGCTCTTTCTGCCGTTGCTGTTCTTTCTGCGCCTCTTCAGCACCCTGCACCTGGTGGGAAGGTGTAGAGGTGAGCTGGAGTTGCTCAAGAGATGAGCAGGAGAACCCTCAGAATGTTCCAGGCATCCAGGGACTGAGGGCACACAGCCTCCAGAACTACTGGCCTCATTTTACAGCTGAAGAAACAGGGCCACATGCGTGTGACTCTAAACCATGTTTGTGAAGCCATGGCATGCTAGAGGCTGGGGGAGGCTGTCGGTCCAGGGCTTGGGGAGTAGGGCGCCTCTCACCAAGATATTAAAGAAAATCTCCTTGAGGTTCTTTGTGTCCTCATCACTCAGCCAACGTGCGTCCTCCTCAGCCCCTTCAGCCCCTGGCCGGACTATTTTGATCTCAATTTTCCCTGGGAAGGAGCAGAATGGTCATTGAGAGGAGAATGCTGGGAGCTTCAGCACAGGCCCCACCACCTCCAACGGGGCTGTGAACCCTTCCGACAGCTTGGCGTCCAGCCCCGCCCTCCAGGGCCCACCTTCAGCTGTGAGTCCCTCCCTCTCCAGCAGCTCTTTCACCAGCCCCTCGATTTGTTTCAGCTGTGGGTTTTCCCGTTTCATCTCGAGGACAGTCAGATCCTGATTGGGGCCTCTGTGGTGGAGCTTGGTGACCCGGACCCGGACTCTGTGCTCGGGATCCTCCTCTTAGAGGGGGAGACACAGGGAGACACAAAGCAGGCCATGACTCCCAGGGTCAGGGGTGTGGTGCTCACAGGGGGTTTGGGCAGCTGTTCTGTCCCAACAAGATTCAAAGCATTCATGCCCCAGACTCCAGTCACCAAGTGCAGCCTCCTGCTCTTCCTTCTACCCAATAATTCGGCCCAGCACCTTCAGAGGAGAAACACTAACTTCTCTGAAGCAAAAATCAGGCCACCTGTACTAACTATGCAGTTTTGTTCTGAGAAGCAAAGTGGAAAAGTGTTTTGGTCCTTGACGTGTCTTTAAAGACATTTAAATGTTTACAGATGAAGTGGGATGGGAGATTTGAAACTGGGACTATTCCAGAATATTTGGAACGATGGCTCTGCACGCCCACAGGACTCTGGAATGGACACAAAGGGATGCAAGGAGGAGGAATGAATCACTTCAAGTCTGTCTGGTCCACTTGCTTGTGCACAGCTGGGGTCTCTCCCAGTGCAAAGTCCTACTTGGTAGAAGGCTGCATCCTTCATGATGTATGATACAGACCCAGAGCGATTGCAATCATATCTATGGATCACCCAACTATGTGCTAGGCTCTGGGGGTATAGAAACAAACCAGAAAACCAGACAGACACACTCTAGGAGCAGCTTTCCAGAAGGTTGAGTTGGAGGCAGTGGAAAGAAAGAAATAGTGAGAATAGTGTTCCAGACAAAAGGGAGAAAGTGAGCAGTCTAGAAGCGAAGGGACATGGTGCCCTCCTTGGTCCACAAAGCTGATGGAAAGGGCAGCTGACTGGCTGGCTCCTTCCCATCTGACTGCTCTCACCTGTAGGCTGTGGGGGTGGGGGAGGCTTTTTAGGGACAACCCTCCTTTTCTGACGCCTCTTCACTAGCTGTGGATTCTGTTTTTCCTCCAGCCTTTTGATGAGCTTGTTGAGAGTGGATGTGAGGGCCAGCATTGCTCGATCACGCTCCGACTCCTTCTTCAGCCCGTCTGGGTCAAGTTCCTTCTCTGTCTGGAATACACAAGGGGATGTGGAGAACCAGAAGTCACAGGGGCAGAGAAGGCCAGTAGCTCACACTCTGTAACCAAAAACCTAAACTGCTGCCATCAAGATCATTCCGACTCCTGGTGACCTTGGTCAGAGTAGAACTGAACCTCCAACCATTAGCAGCTGAGTGCAAACCATCTGTGCCACCTGGGAACCTGCATAATCTATAACTCCCTGATGTTGAGTCAATATGGACTGAGAGCAATCCTACAGGACAGCAAAACTACTTTCATGGCGTCTCTAAGGCTATAATCTTTTTGGAAGCAGATAGCCTCATTTTTCTCCTACAAAGCTATTGGTGGGTTCAAATCAAACTACTGACCTCCAGTTCTCAGTCCAGCATTTAAGCACTGCTCCACCGGGACTCCTTCATACTCCATAAAACAGTCTGAGTCTTGTCCCTCCCTCTCTCCAAACTCCCTTCCTCACCATCTCCCTTTTTGTGTCACGTCAATCACTACCATCCGTCGTGCTCTGTCCTGTCATGTGCTGTGCTAGGTGCTGCAATACACTCTGTTCTCTTTAGCCCCCTGCTCTTTCCCGAGATTGAAGGTGGCTGCAGAAGTGATAGGAGGAGCTGTGCTCACCTCCTGGATGATGTTCTCCAGTTCCCGCTCCATGCCAGCCTTCACCTCCGAACGGAGCCTATCTCGGTCTGATGGGAGCAGTATTCCTTCCAGTTCCTTCTCAAATTCTCCCAGTAACTGCTGTTCATCCTCGTCCTCATCCTCCTCCTCTTCCTCTCCCTCTTCCACCCCATTCTGTTGTTCTACATCATCGCCTTTTTCTTTCACCTCAGGGTCCCTCTGAGGGACTTCTTCAGCATCATCTGCACGCTGCTCCCGGCCTGTGCTTGGGTTCCCCTGGGTGTGAGGGATTGAGGAGAAAGAGGTAGGCAATTGGAGTTTCAGCAGAGACCCATGGCTGGGGGCAGACAAACAGTGGTAGTGACATGGGATTCAGAGGACTTAAGGAAGGAGGTCAGCACTATTGGGCCTACTTTAGGCCCAGGACAGGTTATTGGGTTCCCTTGGCTGGGAGGCAGGTTTCAGCTCTTCCAGAGCAGGGCCCGTACCTTTTTGGTTCCACCCTTCAGCTCCTCTATCAACCGAATCAAGTCTGCAGGGTTCCGAATGACTTTGACCTGCACATTGTTCTGAAAATCTGAGATGAAAGAACAGGAGTGGATCCTCTGTGTTCTGAATTTGGTACTGATTTCCTAAGGAAAGGTGATGAGGAGACCAAGGAAGGACGTGGCCCCTGCCCCCAGGAGCTACCTGTCTTGTCAGCCACGTGGGCTAAAACCCATCCCTAGAGACAGCACTGTGCTAAGAGGGGCTCACAGGTGGGAGAGAGGGTGCTAACAAGCTGTACGTTTCCTGCTCTTCACTGAACTTCTATGATTTTATCCCCATAGGACCTTCTGGCCATCAGCTTCTAGGAATCTTCTTCCTTGGCTCCTGTACGCTTCACAAAAATGTGACCGCATTTACTCAGTGTCTAGTCAATTTCAGGCATTCTATAAAGAACTACTCTACTCTTTCATTCTCAATCCCACAACAGCTCTCTCAGGTGGGGACTATTACCCACATTTTATGGACTGAGGAACTTGAATTGACATGAAATCACTCAGGATTACAAAGTCAACACGGAGCAGAATCACTGCGCTCTACTACCTCCCTAGAACAGCCTCAGTGTCTACTAAGAACACTAACTCCTGGGGAAACAAATTAGCTGTTGGCCTGGCTGCCCAACTTCACCCCTCACCCCCACCCCTGCCAACCTGAAGGTACAGCCAAGCAGGAAAGATGCTGGGGGTGAGGAGGGGGCTCACTCACCATCAGGGGAGGGTGGGGCTGGATCTGCCGTCTCCATGTTAAGTTCCTGCTCCTGAAGAGGAAAAGAGCAGTCTCGGGTGGCCAAGTGCCTACATGCCCAGCTGGGACTATCCTTACATCCTTAGATAGATGCAGGTCACCTCCCAGTGACCTCAGCTTAGCTTAGGTAACCCTCCCCATCCCAAAGGCCACTTCATCAGAAGTAGAAGTACAAACTAGCTCTCACCTCAGCCTGTACCTCCTCCCCTCCTGGAGCCTGGTCCTCTTGCTCATGAACCACCTTCCAGAAGTCCGACTGCTTACTGTCTTCCTTGGTTGGACTTGCACCTGGGGTACAGAGAACAGGAAGGAATCTGAAAGGACAGGAGAAACACTGGAAGGGAGCAAATAGTATGGTGTGTACCTCCTTCCTCTATCCTTCCGCCTCCAGCCCCTGTGGTCACCATAGGACAAGGTCAAATAAAGAAAGGAGGAAAATGGGGCAAGTTTCCTGAAACAAGTGAAACAAGGTCCTACCTTCTCGCTTCAGGGGTACCACCTCAGACTTGGCCTCACTCCACATTTGATGGTCCAGGTCTTGCAGCTCTTCTAGGATTTTCTCCCCATACTGCTTGGAGTCTATGAGAAATGGTGTGGAAGTAGCATGAGGGACTGGGCCGTTCAGGACTTTATCTTCTGCTTCTCCTCCCATACATCTCCTTCCTCACCTCACCAGCTAACTACTCACCAGCTTGCTGCTGAATGTAGGCCATGTACTCCTCAGGCTGTAAGGCAGGGTGGCAGATAATGGCCTGGGGAGCAGCACTGGGTGGGGGCCGGAGGAGAGGGTGTGGGCAGAGGCGAGGAGTCCGAATGGTCAGTACGTAAGAGCAGGACAGGGGCTCGTCCACACGGTCAATGTAGTCCCCAGAAATGCCAGCACCCTCATCACACAGGAACTGCAAGGTTGAAAGGGTGAATAAATAAATAGTGACTGCCACTAGTAATTATAGTTCTGAGAGCATATACCTTTAATTATGTACTTACAGCATGTCAGAGTCAGTGCACAGCACTTTCTATACCTTAGCTCATTTATTATCACAAAAGCCCAGTGAGGGAGGTATTAAAATCTCAGCTCTGGCTAAAGAAGCTTATGTTGCATAGAGCCAAATGGACTTGTTTAGGCTAAATTAGCTGGTAAGCAGAAAAAAAACCCCAGGAATTAAACATAAGCAGGTGAATTCCAGGTAACCAAACAATTCTTGTTTATTTTATATAGTGGTAAGAAACTGCACTGCAATCTCGAAGGCACATGGTTCAAATCCTCCCACTGGAGGATCAGTATCCAACTTAGTGGTACTCAACAAGAGCAACAATACTTGTATTATTTTTTTTAAATTGTTATTTACAGAAAGTTTGGGGTTTTGTTTATTCATTGATGCATTTTGTTTTACATTCTTGCTTTTCATAAATATACACTAAGCTAAACCCACTTCCATGACATCTATTTTGATTTATAGCGATACTGTATCAGATTTCTGAGGCTATAAATCTTTATGGGAGGAGACTGAAATCTTGCAAAAGACCAGCTGGTAGGTTTGAGCTGCTGACTTTTAAGTTCGAAGTGCAACTATGCACTTTTCCATCAGAGATTTGCATTTATATATGTAAATATCTCTGATAAATGCTGATAGGTGTAGAGGGGCTTCAGGCCTTTTGTTTATAGGGTTGCTATGAGTTGTGCTTGACTTGAAGGCAATCAACATCAACAACAACAATATAACATATATGTATATATATATTGGCCTTATAAACATTCTTTACATAGGTGCTTATTTTTAAAATAGACACATATGATAAAAACCCTCTTCAGACAGAGTCACAGTTTACTTCACTGCACCTAATGATAAATTTATGTTGTCCTTTTCCTGATGTCCTTTTCCAGGAACTGGGACTGGCTTTCAAGATAACATGTCAAAAGTAATGGGGGTGAAGTTGCCATCCTCGATTCTAAGGAGCATTGTAGCTGGACTTCATCTAAGACAGACTTGCTTATTCTTCTGAAAGTCCACAATCTTAGTCAATATTCTCTGCCAACACTGTAATTCAAGGCCATCAACACTTCTATTGTCTTGCTTTCACATGCATTTGAAACATCTGAAAAAAACATTGTTTGGGTCAGGTGTACCTTAGTCCTCAAAGTGAAATATCTGTTTTTTAACACTTTAAAGAAGCTTTTGCAGCAAATTTGTGAGTATAATATTTTATTTCTTGACCACTGCTTCCATGAGCCCTGACTGCTGATACAAGTAAAATAAAATCCTTGACAACTTCAATATTTCTCAATGGCACATAACAATAACATACTATAACAGGTTTGGAAGCAGGAGTGGTATCCACTTCCTAAACAACATGCCTCCGGAAACTCTATGAACTTTGATAAATGTCGATAGATGTAGAGGGGCTTCAGGCCTTTTGTCCATAGGGTCGCTATGAGTTGTGCTCAACTTGAGGGCAATCAATAACAACAACATCATCAAGGTGTTCACCAGGTTGCAGGGATTTTTATTTCCTTGCAGGGATTATGTTGGGGTATAATCCACAATGAAGACTATAGTCTTGGATCTTTATCAGCAAATGCTTCAAGTCCTTTTCACTTTAGCAAAATTGTGTCATCTGTATATCACAGATTGTTAGTCTTCCTTCAGTCCTGCTGCACATTTTTCATACAGTCCAGTTTTTTAGATAATTTGTTACACATACAGATTGAATTAGTAACAGAATACAACCCTGTTGTATACTTCTGACTGTAAACTAATCCGTAACTGGTAAAAATTCTAAAACAATATGGAGAGGTTATCCGTAAGGGACACTTAAGAATCATAAGTCAATGTAGCACATAGACTTTATTTAAATTGTGTTTTAAATAAGATAATAAAAAAGATGTTATTTGGTAAATTTGAAAATACTGAATATATTATTAAAGAATCAGTGTTGATTTTTAGTGTAGTATGACTTGTGGGTATAGATTTTTTAAAACCCAAAACCCCTTTTCCCTTCTTATTGTGACTTAAAGTAACAATTTTTTTATTGTAAAGTTTACAGAACAAACCAATTTTCCACTCAGCAATACACATTGTTTTGTGAAATTGTTTGCCATTCCCACAATGTAATGGCACTCTTTTAATTTCTTCATTGTCTACTGTTCCCATTATCCTTCTTTTCTGCCCCTTCCTGGCTTCTGCACTTTATTCCTGGGCAAATATTGGAGTGTTCCTTCCTATGTATTATTTGGCGGAAAGGTGAGTCCAGTTCAGGCTTGAGGATCAAGTTAGGGCTACAGTCTCAGGAGCTCCACCAGGTTCTATCAGGCCACTGAAGCCTGGGGGTTTTTATGCTTTTTGAATGTTGTTCTATATTTGTCATTCACTCTGTCCAGGACCTTCTGTTGTGATCTCTTTCAGAGCTGTCGGCAGTAGGAGTCAGGCACCATCTATTTCTTCTCTCAAGGTCCTGGAGACTGAGGTTTGAATGGTCTTGTGGTTATGTTTTTAAAAGAGCCTTTAAAAGAACACAGAATACCTTTTAAAGAATATAGAAATATTTATGGATGAAATTATATGGTGTCTGTGAGTAGAGGAGAGAGGATGTTAGGTACCATCATGCTGAGTACGACTTCGAGTGACTCACTGAACGGCAGTTCAAACCTTGCCTTATCCTGTGCCATCCTCGGCCTCTGCTGTGCTTCCGCCCACTGTTGTAGTCACTATGTCAGTCTATCTCACTGAGGCTTCATCTCTTTCACTATTTTTTTCCAGCATTCTTTTTCCAAGAATTGGCCACTCTTAAAAACATGACCAAAATATGTGAGATAAAGTTTTTCTAACTTTGTGTCCAAGGAACACCCTAATTACACCTCCGCTAAGAAAGATTTGTTTGTTCTTTTGACAATCCCTGGGATAATGAATACTCTGTGAACATTACAATTCAAAAGCATCAAGTCTTCTTCAATCTTCCTTATTCACTGTCCAACTTTTAAGGACCTATGTTGTTATTGTTAGGTGCCACTGACTTTAGTACAACTCATTGGGACCCTATGAACAACAGATCTGAACCCTGTCCTAGCCTATTGCATCCTCACAATCTCTAACACATTCAAGCCCATTCCTGTAGTCACTGTGTCCATATACTTAGTTGAGGTTGTTCTTCTCCTTCACTGTCCTTCCACCTTTTAAAGAATGATATCCCTCTCCAAGGAATAACTTCTCCTAGCAACATATCCAAACTATGCAAGATGAAGCTTTATCATTTTTGCCTCCCAGGAGCAATCCAGCTGCACCTTCTCCAAGACATATCTGTGTGTTTTTTGGCAATCTGTGGGATATTCAGTACTCTTCTCCAAAACCACAGTTCAAAGGCATCAATTCTTTCTTCTTTTTATTCTTATTATTTTTTTTTTTAATGTGTGTACCATCAAATTGGATCTGACTGGTATAGGAGGCGATTGTTCCTCCTTCTTCAGCAAAGCATCTGGTGGATTTGAACCGCGCACCTCTGGGATTGCAGTGCCGTTTCCTGCCACTAGGCCACCAGAGCTTGCCCAATTCTTTCTTCTTCGGGCATCCTTACTCACTGTCCAGTTCTCAGATGCATAGCAAGTGATTGAAAAGATGCAAAGTAGTGGCAAGGAGCTGCAACTACAATCCTAGAGGTGCACGGTTCGAAACCACCAGATGCTCTGCCGGGAAAGGAGGGACAATCTCCTCCTGTACCAGTCAGATCTGATTTGACGGTACACTCACACAAGAATAATAAAATTTAAAGAAAAGAAAAGACGCAAAGTAGTGCTGAAACTGACATCATTCCTCCTCAGTAATTTGGAGAGATCCCTAATTGCAGACTTTTCCAGTGCAACACATCTCCTGACTGTTGTTGCCAAGTATATTGATTGTTGATCCAATTAAGATGAAGTCATTGACAGTTCCAATCTTTCCTCCCCTATTGTAATGTTGCCCATTGGTCCAGTGGCAAGGTTTCTGGTTTTCCTAATGTTGAAATGCAACCCATATTGAAGGCTTTATCTTTTGCAGCAAGCACTTCAAGTTCTCCTCACTTTTAGCAAGCAAGGATGTGTCATCTACATAACAAAGGTTATTGATGTGTCTTCCTACAATCCTGATGCCACATTATACTTTATAGAGTCCAGTTTCTTGAATAATTTGCCTAGCATACAGATTAAATAGTATGGAGAAAGGATATAACTAAAGCCCACTTTTCTCAATTTTCAACTGCACAGTCATTTGTCTTTGTGTAGTCAATTAGGCACAAAGAGACATTCTTCTAGCATTCTTTGCTATCTGCCAGGATCTAGCTGACATCAGTCAGCAATGATATCCCTGGTTCTATGGCCTCTTTGAAATTTAGCTTGAACATCTGGCAGTTCTCTGTCTAAGTACCATTCTGTTTCTGAATGAACTTCAGTAGTATTTTGCTTGCATATAATCTTAATGATATTGTTCGATAATTTCCACATTCTGTTGAATAACCTATCTTGGAAATAGGGACATATATGGTGGCCTAACGAAAAGAAGCTGGGCTGCAATCCCAAAGGTATGCAATTCAGATCCACCAGCTGCTCCATAGGAGAAAGATGAACATTCTCCTCCCATGTAATTTACTGCTTCTGAAAACCCACCGCAGGGTCAACTCTGGTCACTGCTGACTCTATGGCACATAACAACAGCATGTATATGAAGCAACTAAAAATACCATGCCTTAGGTCGCGTACTACTTCATTTTTAAGTTGACATTCTTGATTTTTAGCAGTTTAAAGAGGTCCTTGATAGCAGATATTTCTAATGAAATAACGGGTCTTTTTATTTTGTGATTGCTGCTTTCATGATTTGAATGTCGACCCAGGTAAAATGAAATAATTGGCAACTTCAATCTTTTCTCCATA